GAACATATACGTGAATATTGTGGTTATACAATATATAAATACATCCGCTACATATTGAGCTCGTGGGTTCGCTAAGTCTAAATGGCTTAGCCTTCTCTACAGAAATTAGTATTCCTTAAACTTCTTTTGCGTCGTCTATAAAAGGCACGTGTTTGTTTCTGCGAGCAGATCAGTGGCGTCGCAGTTGATCCTCGGGCAAAGCGTGATCGCCGAGACATATGATCAAGTGACAATTTACTTTAGCGACATCGTAGGCTTCACGAGTCTGTCTGCCGAGAGCACGCCTCTGCAGGTGGTCGATCTGCTGAACGACCTCTACACGTGTTTCGATTCCATTATCGAGAACTTCGACGTTTACAAGGTAAGTATCGACCTGTTTTAAACGTATTCCGGGGACATAAAATACAGATGATTTAAAGCTTCGGTCGAAAGGGGTGAATATTTTAACCGAGAGAAAGTAATGCTGCCTCATGAAATGGCGATAAACTCGCAATCCGCATCCGATGGCGTCACACCAGCAATGTCCAAGTTCTTCCGGCGCAATTTTATCGAAGCTGAACGAATAAACCGTACACCGTTTCGACAAGTTTTTCCGTTTGTGAGAACCTGACTTCTTCTATTAAGAAACTTCGTCTACATCACTCTCTCTGTCTCTTTCCTTTCCCCTTGCATTTTCCCAACAGTTCTGCCTTCAAGTTAAACGATCATCTAGAATATCATATTGCTTAGCTGACACGTTGTATTTCTCATGGAATCAAGCTCGATTCCTTGATTCTATATTTACAAAAAGTTCCACGTGCCCGTTATTTGGAGCTTATCGCGAGATGTTCAATTCACCAGTTAAGAACAACGCGAGAAAGAAAGGAAAAGAAAGGAGAAAGTGAGAGAAACACCGCAATTCCGGAGAACAAATTGTCCTTGATTTCTTAGAAGAGAAGAGAATTTTCTTGAAAATAACAGCACTACCGCGCGCGTGGAGTTGAATCTAAATTATTATAATATTCACGTGCCAGAAACGTGCTCATATAAGTATGGAAGATATAAAGACAGAATAAGAATTACGTAATACATGAATTTACAATTATAATTTTTTTAAGTAAAACATATACATGTGAAATGGTGGATGTGTATAGTGATATGAATTGCGTAAGATACAGACCGTGATAATACAACATCTTGCCGAGCAAAAAAGGACACTTTCACAAGATTATTTAATTAATATAATAAGAATAAAATGTATTAAGTGAACATGAAACCGCGCGGAATTTTTAATCGAAAAAACGCCAGCATTTTAGTTTTCAAAAGTCTTTATAATTTTACAGTCTAAAAGGCACTCTTCGATGCAGCACGATATAGTTACATGATTTTATACTCTCATTATATACGAGTAGATATAT